GGGCCTCCTTGGCCTGGCATGCAAAACCCAGAAACTGAGAGTTGAAATTCCTTTCGTAAATCTTGACGAGTGCAGGTGTTGAACTGCATCCTTCAGATTTCAGTGAAGTTTTGAGCTAATTATAAGATTATTCTATCTGTTTAACAATATTTATACTTTTCATTGTGGAAGAACAAAGAAATTGTTGTGAACTACCCAGAGAGCTTGAGCTATTGGACAACTAAACTAAATAAAAATAAGTACAAGGTATTACTGCCCTTCATCTTTTTTTTTTGCTTCTTATGTATATGTGTGAATATACATAAGTGCATCTAGACAGTAATTAAAATTCATATTGACAATTAGTGAGATTTTGCATGGCGCATTTTTAACAGACCCTAACCTTGAATTTACAATCTAAAAAGGCACGACACAAAAGGATTATTTCATGGAGAAAATTTCTATATTTGAGATTCTTTTATTACAAAAAGCTGTGATGCTATTCAGAATAACCTGGAATCAAAGAGCAGGTATTTGGCACAATTGTCTTGATTGTGGGCCAGTCACAGACTCTCAGTCCAACCTACCCTACAGGGTTGAGGGGGTAAGATTAAGTTGCCCTGAGTTCTTTAAAAGAAGAGATCAAATAAATGAGCATGTGTGGTGGGAAGGGCTATTACTGAAATGGCCTTGCTGCCTGTTGGAAATGAGGTCCATTTGAAGTGTCACTGGCCCTTTCCTTTCACATGTTTAATCTCTTCCTGTTTCCCAGAATCTGCCCTGGAACAAAAGGTAGCACTAAAGGGATGAGAGTTCATGGTTTCTGTCTCAGGTAATTTTCCATAGTAATATTTGCATTTATAAGCATTGAAAAATTGTCCTGCTGATGTTATTATATTATCCTTTTATTACAGGTGGGGCTGAAGAGAGTATTTAATATTGCTGCTTAGTGGTGAAACTGAAATTGGTTTAGGTTTCCATCTAAAAATTCTTCATACAAAATATCCATAAATATGCAGGAAATGTCAGTTTATTTAAATTGCTCCCACAGATCCATCAGTCCAACTCTAACACTCAAATGCATCCAGAGATCATGTACTTCATTGACTTCTATGCAGATGTATGGTATTTCTAAATGTTGGGTGTCTATTTGTGTTAGACTGATTGAGGGGATCCAGGTTTATATCCCTACTCAGCTGTGAAGCTTACTTGCGTGAGTTGGGCAAGTCTTACTTTCTTAACCTAATCTACCTTTTAAGATCGTTAAAGTAATAACTAATTAAATAAACAGGTGTGGCCCACCATGTGCCCACTTTTGAGCTTCTGGAATAGAATGTAATAAACTTTTCCAGAAAGGGAGGGAATACTGTTCCCAACTAGTTCCACACTCCTAACTGAGCAGATCAAAGGAAGCTGCCCTAGCTGATCTAAGGACTCTGGACAAGCTCCCAGAGAGTGAGCAAACAGAGTGAGCAAACAGGAGTTTGGCAGTGGCACTGTAGTGGAAGAGGAGTTAAAAGCAAAGGCAAAAAGATGAGGGGCCTGAATTAGCCCAGCAACAGTTTCTTCCAAGACGGCTTGTTCTCCTGAGAGCTGCAACTCAAAGGGAGTGGCCTGATTACTAGCTGTGTGGGTGGGGAGATTCATTCTGGTGCCTGAGCAGATCAGAGGAAGCTGCCCTAGCCAGACTAGGGAGTCTCGGGTACAAGTGGCCAAGCTCCCAGAAAGCAAGTGATTAGGGAGAGCTAAAAGGAGTTTGGCAACAGAGGTCAAGGGAGAGGTCCCCTAAGAATACAGGCAGGTAGCACAGAATTGTAGGGATGGTATCAGAAGGCCTAAAGCTAGGACTGAACTGAGGCTAGTGACGGATGCTAAAAGCAACAAAAAAGTCTTCTTCATATCTGTCCAAAGTAAAAGACAGAGGAAAGAAATAGGGGTTCAACTACTCAATGTGGATGGAAAAATGATAATGGATGGAAAAGAAAAGGCAAAAGTGCTAAATTCCTACTTTGGCTCAGTCTTCTCCCAAAAGAAGACCTACAGTCTTCCTAACAAAGAGGAAGTACATGCTGAAGGTACAGGTTGACAGCTCAAGACTGACAGGCAAATGGTCAAAGATCATCTAACTGGGCTGAATAAGTGCACATCTCTGGGGCCTGATGAACTCATCCTAGAGTCATAAGGGAATTGGTGAAACAACTCTCAGAACCACTGTCTGTTATCTATGGGAAATCATAGAGAACAGGAGAAGTGCCAGATCACTGGAAAAGAGCTAATGTTGTTCCTATCTTCAAGAAAGGAAAAAAAAGGAGAACCTAGGAACTACAGTCAGTCTGACAGCAATCTGTGGGAAAATTTTGGAGATTATAAAGCCATCAGTCTGCAAACACCTTGAAAGCAATGCAGTGATTACTAGAAACTAACATGGATTTCTCAAGAACAAATCCTGCCAGACTGATTTTGTTTTGTGATTGGGTAACCTCCTTGATGGACTGTGGGAATGCTGTGGACATAATCTATCTTGACTTCAGCAAAGCTTTTGACAAAGTGCCCCATGATATCCTGATTAGCAAACTAGCTAAAACTGGGCTAGATGGAATAACATAGAAACAAAGCAAGCCAGAAAGGGCCTCCTGGGCCATCTAGCCTGACTCCTGGTTCCAGTCAGCTCCACTCATATAACCACCAACATGTATTCATTGTCCAGTCTTTCCTTGAACACCCTCACTGATGGGGCCTCAATCACCTCCCTTGAAAGCCCATTCCATATCCTGGGGGTAATGATATAGGTGGATCCACAGTTGGCTACAGAATTGGACTCAAAGAGTGCTCATCAATGGCACCTTCTCAAACTAGGGAAAGGTAACAAGTGGTGGTACAGGGTGCAGTTCTGGGCCCAGTGCTCTTCACCCTTTCTATTAATAATTTGGATGAGGAAGTGGAGGGAACAATTATCAGATTTGCAGATGACACAAAACTGGGTGGGATAGCAAGGTGATCTTGATAGGTTGGAGCACTGGGCTGAAAACAACAGAATTTAATAAATGTCAAGGTTTACACCAGGGAAAAGTGCCCTTCTAAGGTGAGGAATACTTGGCTCAACAACACTGCAAGTGAAAAGGATTTTGGAATTGTTGTTGATCACAGTCTAAATATGGGCCAGCAATGTGATGTGGCTGCAAAAAGGGCAAATGCTATTTTAGGCTGCATTAATAGAACTATCACTTCCAAATCACACGAAGGACTAGTTCCCCCTTACTCAGCACTGTTTAGGTCTCATCTGGAGTACTGTGTCCAGTTCTGGGCACCAGTTTGAGAAAGAAGCAGACAAGCTGGAAAGGGTTCAGAGGGCAACAGGGATGATCCAGGAACTGGAAACAAAAGCTCTATGAGGAGAGATAGAACTGGGCATGTTTAGCCCCAAGAAAGACTGGAGGAAACTTTCATAGCAGTCTACAAATACCTGAAAGGCACAGAGAGGAAGGGCAGGATCTCTTCTTGATCATCCCAGAGTGCAGGGCCCTGAACAATGGGCTCAAGATGCAGATTCTGGCCAGATACTAGGAAAAATTTCCTGACTGTTAGAGCAGTACACCAATGGAATCGATTAGCTAGGGAGGTGGTGGGCTCTCCCACAGAGGCATTCAAGATGCAGCTGGACAGCCATCCAAGAGGGATGGTTTATCTTGCAGTCCTCCACTGAGCAAGCACTTGAACCAGATGGCCCTCTGGCCCCTTCCAGCTCTACTGTTCTAAGATTCTATAGTCCCCAATTAAAGAACTAAAAAAAAGGAGGGGGGCGGCCAGAAAAAGCCTCAATAGAGGTGCTTGTAGCTTTGAGCCAATTTATGTACTTGCCGAATGTTGGGCTGGGCCTTGGGGGATCTGGCTCTAGCCCCCCCTAGCCATGAAGCTCACTGAGGCCGGCTCTGTCACTCGGGTTCATCTGGCTCAAAGGGGTATGGTGAGGATGAAAGAAAGGAGGGTGGTGGAAGCCGCCATGGTTCCCTTGCATGAGGGACAGCGAGGGACTGAGCTCGCCCAGTAACACCTGGGCGAAGAAACCTCCCCGGACTCGCTGGCTGAGGCGCTGGAGCGAGAGGAAATGCGGGCGCACGCCTCCTCTCCCCCTGCGCTCGCCCGGCTCTTCGCCCCAACGCCCATTCGCGGAGGGCAGGTGGCAGCCTCCGCGCCGCCACGGCGCAGCCGCCAGCCGGCCGCTCTTCGGCGAAGCGGGTCGTTGATGGGGCGGCGGTTGAGTCAGCGGCTGGCTCTGCGTCCCCTCCTCCCGCCTCTGGGAACCGAGAGCCGGCGGCGAAGCAGGCGGCTCCGCGCCTCAAGGCTGAGGCTGGCAGAGCGCGACCCGCAGCCAGCGAGTGCCTGTCACGGCCGCCGCCGCCGCCGCCGCGCCTCAGCCGCGCTCGCCGAAGCAGCACCGCGCGTGTGGGCGTGAGGGCCCTCCCCGCCGCAGGGCCCGCGAGGAAGGATGCGGGGGCGGCGGTCGCGGTGAGCCCCCGCAGGTGAGCGTCTGCGGGCGGGAGCGGGCGGGAGGAGCCCTCGGCCCCGCCGCTGCCGGAGAGGCCCTCGGGCGGCGCCAGGGCCCGACCCTCCATTGGACCTCTCCCGGGGCGAGCGAGGGCGGCCGCCTCAGCGAGGCCACCGCCAGCCGCCTCCCCGCGGGAGGAGGAGGAGGCGGCTTGGGCGGGCGGGCGGGCGGCGAGCGGGCAGGCTCGCGTTCTTCCACCCGGCGATGTGCGTCTCTGGGCGGGGCAGGCCGTGCTGAGGCGCGAGCGGGAGGCTGCCGCACCGTCCACCCTCCGCCCCTTCGCGCGGGGGGGGCACGACCCGCTTCCCCCGCTGCCGAAGGCCCGGGCTGCGAGTGGGCACACGATGCAAGGTGTGGGGGGCGGGGCGGGGATTTTGGCGGGGGGGCGGGGAGGCCCGTTGTGTTGCCTCGTCTCCTTCCCTGGCTCCCTCCTACATTCATGAATCGCACAACTTGTTCATTGAGAACGGGGGTGGCGCGGTGCGGGGTACTCGGGCATGGCTGGCGCTCAGTGCGGCTGTCTCTTCTGCAGAAGGAGTGCCTGCTAAGGCAGGAAGAGGAATCTGGTTGAATTAAGCACAAAACCAGGCGGGAGGTGAGGAAGTTAGAAAGCAGCGTGAACTGTGGCTTCAGCTTGTAGGTGAGAAATGCTCACGCTTCGCTATACTGGTCTTTGATGCTGTGTGGTGTGTCTTTAGTCTTTGAAGAAATGACTTGGTGATAGCCATTAGGGTAGTCTTGTGGTCATGTACCAATATTCAGACTTAGAAAATATTTTGTGATTGCTGGCATGACTGAATATTTCTTACTTTTCATACCAAGTGCACATGGCTCTTTGAAGTTATTGTCTCAATTACAGACATTATCTCTGGTTTTCTTGTCTCAAACTGTCTATTGTGGGATTAATATTGTACTGATATTTTGCATATAAAGAACAAAAGAAAATTATGAACAATTGTTTATATCTTTGACAGCACATCCTGTATATTTTTACTTAGAAATACATCCCACAGGGTTAAATAGGGCTTATTTCCATTTACGTGTGCGTACATCTGCATAGGATTACAATGTATGCATTCTGTATTTTTCTGCCCTAAGAATATGGTTCAGCTTGCTTTATCAACAGTGTGTGTTTTACTAACCAAGCCATTTTTGGGAACCTGAAATATTAGTAACAAATAGGTGTCCAGAAAAAAAAGTAAAAAGAATGAACACAGAGCCCAAAATAACTTCAGAATATTGACAATCTTGTAATTGGAGCTGTTGAGATAAAAATGTTTGTTTAGTGCCATTCCATCATTCACAATTATGTTTGGCATGACGATGGTAGTTAAAAAAATTAGTTAATATGAATTTTATTTGATATTTTGACACAAAGTCTTGGAATATCTTTCCTGTCTAACTTTTTAGCTTTTGCAATTTTATCCTCTGCTCATGTTGATTCTGCTGGCCCTGGTTTTTATGATACCTTTAGTTGATCTGCTTTCGAGCTTCTAACAGCTCCTTTGCAATTTTCTTAGCTGCTTTGGCATTAGAGGTACTTGTTACTATTGGGACAGCATCCTTAAGTGCTACACAGAGCTTAGAATTCATGTTTCAACATAAAGTAGTAGCACTTGGTAACTTATTCATGTAGTTATAATTGTAGTTTAGTTGAACAGTTTCAGAAACGAACAATTGATATGCACAACAGTTTCTGCTTTATAATATATGATTACTGTTTATAATGGAGGTAGTATGGGTGTCTAAAATCAGCAAACGAGATGTGCAGGGAACAATATATAACTCTCTCTTATTTCATCATCATCATCATCATCATCATCATCATCATTTACATTGCATTTATATCTCATCTTTTGTCTTCTTGTGAGGAACCCAAGGCAGCCTACCTAGCTCCATTTTATCTTCGCAACACCTACCTGTGAGGTAGGTCAGTGTGAGAGTGATTGACTGGCCCAAAGTTACCCAGTGAGTTTCATGGCTATGGACTAGAACACAGATCTTGCAGGTCCACAGTCTGCACTCTAACCCCCCACTCCACTCTATATATAGGGAAGGAGGAAGGGAGAGAAGAAGTGTTACCGATATGCTGTCTATTGACAGTACTCTTACTGTCCTCCAGGTGCTCTGTTCTTCCTGATTTTTATTTATTAAAATGTTTCTTTTTAACTTTTAAAAAATCTTCCCATGTTGCAAAATGAAGGTCTGCCTTATGGCACCATCTTTCTTTTGACTTCATCAAAGTGGGTTTGTGTTTTGAAGCTCAGACTCCACTACTGTCTTGTGCTTAGATTATTATTTTGCCATGCACATTGAGTAGTTGAACCCCCATTTCTTTCCTCTGTCCTTTACTTTGGCCAGATATGAAGAAGGCTTTTTTGTTGCTTTTAGCATCTCTTACTAACCTCAGTTCATTCCTTGCATTAGCCTTCCTGATGCCATCCCTACAAATCTGTGCTACCTGCCTATATTCTTCCATTGTAGGCTGACCTTCTTTCCACTTCTATGCATGTCATTTTTTATTTCCAATTCATCTCTAAGCTCTCTGTGAAGCCATATGAGCTTCTTCTGTTGTTTTCTATCCCTTTTCCTTGTTGGGATTGCTTGTAATTGTGCCTTTAGAATTTCCTTCTTTAAAAATTCTCACCCATCTTGGACTTCTTTTCTCATGAGAGTCACTTGCCATGGGTCTTGTCTTATCTGAGTTTATTAAAACTGACTTTAAAAAATCCAGGGTACATGTTTGGCTAAATTTGGCTTTTGCTTCCTTTAGAATAAAAAAATTCAATTATGGCATGGCCATTTCCCCCCAGAGCTCCCATAGCTAGCTAGTTCCCACTAGGTCTTCTCTATTGGTTAGTATCAAGTCAAGGATAGCCATTCTTCTTGGAAGACAATATCAGCAACACAAGTTAGGAATCTCTTGGAGGGCTGTGTTTGGCAGATGAGATCAGGATCTTAAGAGTCTAAAACTGTTCATGTCAGTTTCAGGCTATCCGCAGCCATAGCATGATAGACCTGACATATGTTAAGACAGAGAAAAGTCCTACAACTCCAACCATCTGAGACCTCTAGGACATTTTTCCATTTAAATATGAGTAGGATTGAGCCCCAAGGCATCTGCAATAGGAAGGGAAGTTTAAAGGGTGGAAAGGAGTCATCACACACATGTGCTCACATATTCTTAATTCTTTATGATTCATCTGTAGCATTGTGTGGTGGAATGGGGATGGTCTGTGGAAAGGGAAGAAGTGTCCTCTTCTTCCTGCACAATGAATGGAGGAGAGATTTTAAAAAAAAACTTTAAAGTATCCATCCCCTCAACCTAATCCTGCTAAGTATGATAAATCTATTGAAGGTTTAAGCTAATTAACTGTTTTTTCCAAGAAGTTCACAAATCTTTTTCAGCTTGTTTTAGTTTTGTCCTGAAACTTACAAAATATGCTTCTGTATGCCTGGGTGTATAAGTATACGTGGGGGGAAAAACCCACCACCATATTTTAGGACAATCCTGTTTTTTCCTTAAAATGACAGGCAAGTCACTCAGGGTTACTGTTAGAAAAAGCAATGGGATTGCAAGAATCTTGCTACATACTCTCCTCCTTAACAGGATTTCAGCCAGTTGTCTTTTTCCAGGTTACTATAAACTGCAAAAAGTTCATGTGCCTCCCTTCAGTTCCCACTGGGATGTTTAGAAGGTTTTTATCCAGTAAGTGTATGTGTGTGTGTGGGGGGGGGGGAGGGTAGGTAAACTAGACCAAGGAGTTCCCCTGAGCATGCTAATCTCTCCTACCTGTTGCTCAGTGTTCCCATTTTGACCCTATTTTCAAATGACTGCCTTCCTACAACAATTAGTCTAGCTGTGGTTAGAATTATTGCCCTCCTCTTGTTTTCTGCAGCCATCTCTACTCCAGGCCTGGTCTTGTGACTCCCCTGTTTCCCATTGGGTCCATCCTAGTCCTCCCTAATTTCTCTGCTGTTATTCCCAAGCCATCTCTCTGAACAACAGTGGCCATGAAATTACTTTGTGTGTGTGCCCCCCCCGCCCCCCCGCCACGTTTTTGTTTGTTCCACGCAGCTGAGAGAGCTTCAAGATACGAAGTGCTGTTCTCTAGCCACCTACCCTTCCATACTTCATAAACATGCCTCTGGCTCAGAGGCATTTTGGGAAATAAAGATAGCAGGAAGGTAGGAGACTGTGTTTCATGCTAAAATGCTTGCAGCTATCCAATGTAAAACAAAACCTTATGAGCACCTTATGAGGAGAGGTGTCTGGTGCTGCACTGCCAACATCTTGAGTTCTCTATAATTGGTTTTCAAACCATTCGTTTGTTAAAATGGTCATCAGAAGCCCTTCTCCAGATAACTTCTGCTGTCAGTTGTGAGACTGGTAGTGACCAGAGAAAAGGCCTTTTCCTAATGGTGTCCTGAATCAATCAGGCTTGTGTGGCACCCAGCTTAAAAGCATCAGGCTAAGTTTGTTATTTGCCCAGACTTCTGCTGCACAGTCTCTTGAGGCTGCTGTGTCTTATTTATGAATTTCATCGCTTTTACTAATTGTCAGCAGTTTTTATGGTTTTGTTAAAGTTGATTTTGGAGATTTAGAAAATGTTATTGTAAGCACCTGAGAAATTTCTTGGTATGATAAGGTAGGATATGATATATTTGTTGGTCATAAAGGCAAATAAAATAATCTCCTGGAGTCTGTGAGATGGGCTGGATGATTCTGTGGCCACAACTTTGCTAAACTTAAATGGGTATAAGTAGTTGTGATCCTTTCCAGTAACATGAAAAAACAAGAAAAGTAGTAGAAAAAGAGACATCATAACCAAAAACACCACTTGCACAGTAACCATAGTGATTACTCCCCATCCCTTTTCTCTTGAGTGTTGTATCTTTTTCGTTCAAAATTCTGAAACCTGATGCCTTCCAGATGTATTGGGACTGTAACTCCCATAATTCCCAGAAAGCATGGGCAAAGGCTGGCAATTATGGGAGATGTATTCCCAAATCATCTTGGGAGTACCAGGTTGGAGAAGGCTGTTTTAACCTGCAGGTTGGGACTGTCCTTTTTCTCTGATTGATGATATGCCACTCCTGAAGCTGTTTTTGGCTAAGGAGCAGAACAAAAATGCTTTAAATAAAAAATAATTGTTACAGAGGACAGTCGCTACCAGAGGCACATGATGGACAGGAGAAACAAATGCAGATTTCCCGATCACTCTATTCCGAATAACATAGTGATCACATTACTGTCTGTTGTGCATTGTGGAAAGGCACGAGTGCCCTGCCAGAACTATAGGTTGTGACTCTGATTCCTTACTTGAAGGATGGGTAAGTGAGGTGGAAGATATGAATGTAGTGATGATCCATGGAGAGCTGCTGCAACACCTCCTATGACTTGGTGCATATTAGAAGTTTGTGAGAGACAGCATTTTTCCTTTCAGTGTGGCCAGCTCCTGCACTCTCCTACTAGTAGTCTTGCAGCACCTGCCTTTAGAGACACGGTGATTGCATTATTGTCTGCAATAAGATAGAATTTACCCATCCAATGTAGGGAGTTGCAGTGAGTTGATGCACAATATTCACTCTGTGGCATGAACCCTGGTCACAAGTGTTTCGTGTTCACTGAGAATTATG